AAAGCCCGCATGGGTCGATTTTTTAAACAGCAGGCTGTGCCTGAGCTTCTCAGTGTGCCGGCCGGTCCGGCCCGGCCCGGCCTGGCCCACCTGTTTTGATATCTCTACTGTAAATGTAGCTGCAGCTTATGGTTCAGTAAGCAATAACTCTTGTAGAGTTGGTTGTGATCGGTTTGTTCGTGGTGACTTAGACAATAATACTAGGGAATCTTCTAGTGGCTTAGGTAGAGCTTGTTGTGATCTTGTTGATCATATTGCTCGTGGTAATTCGAACAGATTTGACAACTCAGGTGGAGTTGGAATTGCTCGTGATGATTCAAGCAGTTTATTAACTCGACTGGAGCTGGAAGTAGATGAGATGATTCAAGCAAGGATGACACACAAAGTAGTTTTGGCTTGGGTTTAGTTCACAGTTATCGAGTTTGCCTGACAGAGGCATAGTATGCTCGGTAGGGGGATGGCGTGCCCGAAAGTAGGCATTGTGGAAGAGTTGGAGAATGACTTGAAAAGTGAAGACTTAGGTCGTGTTTGACACCCATTTTGGAGAAAAATTTGATTTGAAATAGTGATTGATGGAAGAATGTGTGGTTAAAAAGTAAAGAGAATTTTTAGGTTTATATGTAATATTATTTTATTGATAGAATGTGTGGTTGAAATGAAGAAAGAGAAAAGAAAATGAAAAAAAAATGGATTTCAAACAAGTGCTTAATTCCTTGCTATGAAATTTGTGTCAAGATGTAATTTGTTATGTTTTGCGGCTTAAATTCCATGTGAATTGGAAGTTTGATTCATAGAGGAAGTTTAGATAATGTTGGTTTGGAAGTTCAGTTTGATAATAGATCAAATTTCATTATGAATTGAGAGATTGATTAGGAAAATGACTTTGAGATGGATAAAAACATGTTTGAAAAGTTTTGGGATAGAGCCGGGGCGCCGAGATGCATCGCCAGAAGCGCAAAAGGGAGCAGAAGAGCTTGCGTCCCAGCGCCTCGGCTCCCAGTAGGTAGCGCCACCAGTTCGAGGGAATTTCATCCCTGTTTGGTTTCTGATGCGATTTTGTATTCTACTTCATCTATAACTTTAAGATTTGACTCCTATAAATACTTCACAATGTGTACACTCTTCATACATTCAACATAACAATTAGATCATTATTGTATACATTGGAAACTTGGAAGAATTGTTTAGATCTAGAATGATAGTATCAAATCTTGTAAAATAATTTTTAGTTTCTTAGTATAATAAATTCTCTTCTTCTACAAAAACTTGTGTTCTCGTGTGATACATTATTTTCATATTGCCTATATTTTCTCATCTTTAATTATTTGATCGGATTAATAACAAGTAATATTAGAGCGATTCTGATATCTTATTTGTTTTCCAAAGATTCCAACCTTAGTAGTCCAGTATTTGCCCGAAATGTAGCTGGAATGATAATTTGATCTAGAATTTAAACAAACAACCATGCTACTGTGACATGGATATTTGACAGGGTTTGGTGACAAACAACACTTGTCACCAAATCACTGGAAGATGGATTTAAAAAAAAAAACCCGGCGAATCACAACTCGCCCCGTCAACGTTGTCACCAAATTCTGGCTGCAATTCCTGTCAGAGTAGATTAACTCTTAAACAAAAGTACTATGACAAATTATTTTAAGCTTGTTTATTGAACTCTCGCTTGTACAAAGTAAATAGTGGTGTTTCAACTACATTAATAATTTTTTCTTCTTTTTCAACTACATATTCCCCATCACATCACTTTAAAAAAATGCATTCTCTCATTTTAATGTGCACCAAACGGGCAGATATTATGTCCACATGTATTTTTTACTGTAGATAATTAGTTTGGCAATATAAGTACTCCAGTCATGGCGTGTATAGTGACGAAGCCAAGCATTTTCTATTTGGGATCAAAAAGCAAGTTGTAAATTTTTTGAAACAATGTATCACTAACAGTCTTGAGAGATGAGAAGGGTGGTTTGGTGGCTAAATATTTGTGATCGTCGCTAGCGTTGAAGTGTTGAGCAGTGACGGGCATTAGATTTTATGTAATTAACAAACCCTAAATATTAAGAAGAAATGAGAAAATGAAATAGTGATCTCAAATTCGAGCTTTGAGGAAAAAAGATCGTGTACGCTGTTCAAAAGAAGGGAAGAATAAAAATTTCAATTATTATAGAGAAAAGTACAAAACATAAATTCTAAAATTTTAAGAGGTCAATGATCCAACATTATATCACATGTGGCTCCGTTACGGGGCCTGTATGCCTCGAAGGATCTGACAAGGTTTCGATTAAATACTATTTGGCATAATTGGACTTAAATTATTTCAACTACCTCTAGTAATAATGGTAGTATTAGTAAATTAAAATTTTAGTGAATATTGTACGGTAATAAATCATATGTTTAGAGTCTTTGTCTTTCGACTTGCCACTGTCAACTCCAAAGTGGTCAATCTTGACCACCCCATTGATGTCTCAGAAGATCTGGCCACGATTCGACTACGTGACATTCGGAATCACTGGATTGGACCAGCGACACTAATTATGCCCTTAATGACAAAAGTAAAATTTTAGC